ACCAACCCCGCCCCCGCCTCGGTCGCATGCACTGGTGTCATGGTCATGTAACCCAGGCCTCCGAAAGACCTATAGGTATTCGCGCAAGTGTGTGAATGTCGCACATTTGTAGGCGTCTGAACGCTATTATTCGTATGAATAAAGACGCATACGCGTGCGAATTGCAAAGGGAAACTCACACCTGCTTCACTCCCTCTATGTGTAAAAATCAGCATTGACACACTGTAATAAACTTGCGAAGAACTATTCTTTGCATTGCAAAGAATTTAGAAGCATTGTAAAATGCTTTGCATTGCGAACTAAATCCTTCGCAATGCGAACTAGTGATTCTCACCTTACGAAGAAAATTATTCGTAACGCTGCAAAGAATTTGTTTGTAACCTTGCGAACTATTTGTTTGTAACCTTGCAAACTGTTTCTTTGCAACTTAGGAAGAAGTTAGTTTGTAATGCAAACTTCCTTACAATGCTTAAATATTCTTTACAAGAATTTTGCAGTGCACGCCTACAAGTGTGCGACATTCACACACTTGCGTTTCTGATTCTGCTTCGCGCCTCCAGCTCCACCTCGAGTCGCGGCGTCTCGTGCGTCACTTAGCCGGACCGCACAGGATTTGCATGAGGGCGGCCCGGAGCCGGGAGGCCTACACCCCTTTCCGCAAGGGGCTTAGCGGTCCGCCTCAAGGAGCTCTGCTGCGCCCTCCGCGGGCCGTGTGGCACCTGCGGTCGCTCTTGGCGCTTGAAGGGGAAACCCGCGGAACCGCGGGCATCGTGTCCTGCTGTACACACTGTAAAATGCTTGCAAACTATATTCTTTCCAACAATGCAAGGAATTTGCGAGCTTTATATTGCAAAGAAACTCTTTGCAAGCTGTCCCGTGCAAACAATGTGTTTGAATTGCAAGGGAATGGTTTGCAGTGTTGCAAGCTTGCGATGGAGAAGTTCGTATTATAATGCGTTCTCTGAAATTCTTTGCAAGCCGCAAAGCATATTGTTTGCAATACGAACCTACTCTTTGCAAGCATCTTGCAGTGCATGCAGCAAAAACAAAAAGGTATCCTCCGTCGCATCTATGCAGGTGAGCTGAAGAAATTTGGATTTCAACGTCTGTCTTTCTAAAAGCATCAACCAGACTTTGAAGCCTTTAAAAATGCACCTTCCCCTTAAGGCCTTTTACAGGTGCGACTCAACACCTTTGTTTTGTATTTTTAGTGCACTATTATTTAAAGTCCATAACTACAACACACGCAAGTTGCTCACTGGCAATGAAAACGTTCTTACCAGTCGAACACTTACTTCATATATCCGTAATGTCCATTTCGTCTCATCTCCCTCCCTCCCTCCCTCCCTCCCTCCTCTGCCTCACTGTCATACACACACACCACACAGTGGCAGTGGGCTTTACTCTGAGCCGGGCGATGAGGGATGAACCAGTTAGCCCCTCTGGGACACGAGAGCGGGAGACAAGCAGCAGCAGCGACGGCACACATTAAATATCTTAGCAGGCCGTGAAATCTCTGGGCGGCGAGGTCCTGGAGCAGAGGTCCCTCCAGTGAGCCTAATGACCAGACTGGGTCGGCTGTGCCGGGCTGTGCCGGGCCGGCCTAGGGGTGGCGGGTCATCGCCATGAAGTAGGGTGGCCTCGGGGTGGCCTCGGGGTGGCCCCGCGCGCCCGCCCGGGCCTGATTAGTTGCCGCGGAAATCAATCCCCTTCCCTCTGCAATCCCATACCACCACCGGCGCACTATTTTCCGCGGAGCTCATCTTTCTGTGTGTGTGTGTGTGTGTGTGTGTGTGTTGACGTCTGGCCCGCGGTTCCACGTTTACTTTAAAAATGTACTCGTAAATTTTTACTTGAAAATTTGCTCAGTAACTGCTGAAGTTTTGTTTTCTGTTGTGTATTACCAAGAAATTTTTAAGTATTACTAAAATTGTTTCTGGTATTACGGGTATTACTAAACGTTCATCCAGTTCGTAATATACTATGCAAATGTTTAGTAATTTGGTCAAAAGTTTAGGAATACTTGTTAAAAGTTAATTTATACTATAGAATTTCTTGATAATTACAACAGCACAAAAACCTTTGTAGTTACTAGACTATGCTATTTTTTTGGTAAAAATGTTTGACTTTCCCGGCCGGTCGGCCACCAACTAAGTCTCGCGCGTTCAAGTCTCTGTGACGGGACGCTCCCAGCTCCGCTTCGCTCTCTGTGTCGGTCAGAGTTGGCAAAACGGTTGGTGTTGTAAATGCCGTGTGTGCGTGAGCCTCGGCGTGAGCCCGCGAGAGGGCGCGCCGGGGACGCACACGCACGCCACCCGGGTGTTTGACCATGGATGTCCCCCGGACGCTCCTCAAAGTTTCATGGCTGTCAGCCCCCCCGCCCGCCGCCCCTTCTCCCTCCCACGCCCGCACACACACATATAGACGAGAGGCGGCCGAGCTCATGGACGATGATTGCCAACCAATTTGGCCCATTCGGATGTAGTTAGCGGGGCAAGCAGAGGGGCGAAAGAGTACAAATCGCTGTCTAATCATAGCCCTCACGCCCTGGTTTAAAAATCTTTAGACAAATGTCTCCCAATTTATTTTCTACACAACATATTCCGTTCGGTGTGTTGTTTTTTGATGTTTCGTTTTACAACAATCGGCTGCGTGCGAAATACTTATGTATGTATGTATTTATGTATGTATGGTTCCCAAATTTTATCAAATGTATAGTTCATCATTTTATGGGCACTTTACACAACCCTCTCGCAAAAGATAAAAGCAGATCCCATTTCTGAACCTCTGAACCTAAAAGAAAATCAAGCATTTCTTCCATTTTGAAAATAAAATAAAAATGATACAGATTTATACTATGGGTGGAACAACATTTGATTCGTTTTTCTACGCAATTAAAACGGAGCCGGGGTGCATGTTACTGATCGACGTTAATGTAATCCACCCCGTGCTCGTCCAGAGGCGGCGGCGCCTGTCCACCCCCGCGACCCGCCCCGCATCACCCCGCCCCACCCCGCCCCGCCCGCACGTAATAATGATCACACACAGGTAGAAGCGCGGCCCGGCCGGCAGATGACCGAACGCTAACGGTGGAGTAGCGCGTCGCGTGACCTCCGTGGCCTGTGCTTTGTTATTGTGAGGAGGGCACACAGGACACGCACACACACACACTCACACACATAGCTGGGACATGCACACACACACTCACACTCTCACATTTACACGCCTTTAGTGGTTGCCGCACAAGGGCGCGCCCAACCGGTGGGAATCGTCACTATAAACGGCCGCGCAGAGCACGACGACAAAGCAAGTGGGAACTTTATTTCCGCAGACAGGTGCGACCCACTACGCTCGCGTTGGTTTCCATCGTTGTTTACCGACGTACTAAAACGCTCGTGTACATAATTTGGGGCACAACTTTCCTCCATGTCAATTGATACTAATGCATAATTTTGTTACGGTTACCCACATTGTACATTCATATCTTATATCTGTATGGAAACAAGCGTTATAACAAGTGCTGACATTCCTTGTTTTCCTTACTCACATATAACCGCCGTAGAATGTAGTGGTACCTTAACACTATTTATGGCTTGGTGTACTAAAAAACTTCAAACAATGCCAAAATGACCGCTACGAGCCGTCTGTGAAAACGCTGAAAATATCCGCCACCGGCAATTACACAAATTCCAGGTTATTTACGGACTCAACATACTGCAGGCAGGTTTTCCAATCTACCATCTTCTCTGGCCGGGTATCTAAGTGTGGTTGCCCCCGAGAGCGTCGCCTGCTTACGGTGGGCGGCGCCCCCTCCGGACGACGACGGGGCGGCGTTACGAATTCAGAGCGATCGCTCACTGCTTGCCGTGCGGGAATATTAAGCGCGCTGGGGGGCGCCTATTAGAGCGGGAGGAGGTTAAGCGAATTAGCCGTCAGTTATTTGTCAACGGGGTCGGTGTCGTCCCGTCTGGCGCTCGGGGCGCCGCCGCCAGTCCGGTGGGATGTGTGGCCTGCGGCCGCAACGCTATTTGTTTTGTTTTTTTGCCGGTCATCGGTGCAGCAGCTGGACGGGCCGGCGGGTCAGTCTCACCTTCGTGCTTGCCCTTCGGGGTGACGACGCGGAAGGCGCTGGACGCGCCCGGCGTATTGCTGGCGGGCGCGCCGCCCCTCGGCGACCGGGCGGCGCCGTGGCCGTCGGGCGAGGACGGCGAGACGGCCGGCGACGGCGGCGAGGGGCGGACGCCGCGCATGGCCAGGCTGAAGTCCAGCGGCATGGGCGTCGTCTGCACCTCCATGTCGACGGCGGCGGCGACCTCGGGTGTATCAGGGCGCCGCACTCATGTCACACACACACACGCTCACACACACTCGCGTCGGCGGTGTAGCAGACGACGTCGACGTCGACGGCGCGCGCGAGGACGTGGTCGCGGCTGGCGGGCGGGGCTCGCGCGTCGTGCGGGCGGCTCGGGGCGAGCGCGGGGATCGAGTGGCCGGGCGGCCGCGGCGAGGGCGGCGGCGGCCCTGGCGGTGGGCGTGGCCTGGCGGCCGGGCCCTGGCGCGCCCGCCGCGCCGCGACTCCCCCTCCACCGCCGCGCCGCGCCAGGCCACGCCCACCGCAGCAGGGGGCGCTGGCGCCAGGGCGCTCTGCTGCTGCCGTCCCGGGGAAAGGAAAGGGGCTCGCCGGACGCAGAGGGGCTCCCCGGGCCGCTATCGCGCGGGATATCGGCGCCTGCAGGGCGCGGGATTTCGAACACAGCAGCGCGCGCAAGGGGTTGGGCCTGCGCTCTGACTCCTGCTGTTTCGTACGCGATTTTAGGACGATGTGCTTAACAATGTTCTATGTGGATAGCTTTACTACGTACGTCATTGTGGTGTTGACAATATTTCAATGGCGCTAGATATTGTCTCTTACAGAGTTTTTGCGGAGATTTTTGCTCAAAATCTACCACAGCTCGTCGCGATATCCTCTTAAAGTTTTCCCGTGAATGGTTACTGATGGTAGCATGAGCACTTGCGCAGTCCGCCTCTCTGTCTGCGGGGCTGGGCTCTTATGACGACTACTTGAACCACACCCCATTCCCTCAACTCCCATCCTTCCCGCCCGGGTTAATTTTCACCCCTCTACCCTGAGATTACAAGTTTCTCTTGCGCAAAGAATCCCTCTTCTTTGCTCCCCGTTGCGGCGTTCCGCCCGTCTCGAGCCGGGAACACGTCGAGCGGGAAAAGATTTCTTTTGAAGTGTTTCGCGCAGCTGAGCCGGAGCAGAAAAATCATTTTCACCCCCAAACTTTTCCCCACTTTGGCGTATCGCTGTGATCCTGCTTTGCGTACGCCCGCCTCGCTGCGGTAAGATTGTTGTAACGCGAAAATGAAGACGGCAAGACGCGCAAATTAAGGGCTCCGGCCGTGCTTCCGTTTTAGACCGAATTTTTTAGTTTATCCAGTTGCCTCTCTCTGTATCCTACAATCTCTCATCCCCATCTTTCTTTTCTTTCTTTCTCTCTATATCCTCCTCCTCTGCCTTTCCAGCGCTCAGGCGGATGAGCACAATTTGCATGTCGAGGCTGCTGCAGCGCCTGGTCCACATCATCTCTCTCTCTCTCTCTCTCTCTCTCTCTCTTCCCCCGCCCCCTCCCCCCTTCCACATCCTTCTCGCACTTCCTCCAGCGCCTTCCTCAGATTCCTATGCGCGACGATAGCAGCCTACGCGCCGACTGCCAGACATGATTTGACCGTTTTCTTTTAATTTCCTCCTAGCGCTGCTTCCCGGCGAGTTTCTTTGCCGCGCGCGCGCCGCACAGTAGAAACACCACCAATGAACTCGGCGCTCCTCTTTTGCTCTTGTTATTTTGTCATCGTCATCCCTTCGCCCCCTCCCTCCCCGCTCTCCTCTGCGCCGCCTCCGACGAGAGCGACGCGAAGCACTTCCCTCCTAATCTGAATCTGAATCCGCCCCGCGTGGCCTTGGCGGGTCGTTTGGCTCATGATTGCCGGACCGGGCAGTGATGCTGCGTTACACGAGTTTGTCCTCGGGACGCTCACAGTCCTCTTGGCCCCCTTTCGTGCTGCTCTCTTTCTCTCCCCGTCCCTTTCTCTTTCCTGCCCCGCTCTCTCTCTCTCTCTCGCTCTTCCCTTCGTGGCGGCCCCTTTCATCACTTTTTACGACTTATTGCAATCCGCTCCCCGTCCTCTCGCTTGTCCCTTCTCCAGTCGCCCCACCCCGCCCCACCACGACCCACCACGCCCCCGCCCCGCCCGGCCCGGGCGCGACGGTTTCCACGAACGCGGCGGCGGCGAGGTACGCGGCCAGGTGCGTCGCGTTATCAGTCTGGGGTTCTTTTATAGATCGAGATGTTCGTCATCCTTTTCGATTTGAGGAGTCCGCGTCTCTCCCTGTGTCGGTGCGCCTCTAGGGCAAACAGGCCAGGCCGGCCGGCCGGCGCGGTAACCCCCTCTATAAAATGATTTCCAGGGCGGCTCTAATGGATCCTCTGGCTGCTCCCGAGAAATCATCGGCCCCGGCGGCGGGAGGCGCGGCCGCCGGCCTCAAGGCTGGCCCCGGACGGGACGGGGCGGCTCGGGGTTACCATCAAAGGCTTTTTCCGCTAACGGCCGCGCCTTTTAATTTCCAATCAAACCCCTTTTGCGGCGTG